ATAGTGAATTAGAAAATATTTGAAGATATTTACACAATTATAATGATTATAAAAAAGAAAAGGAAAAGAGATGCTAAAAATTTAATCAGCTTAAGTTCATTGTAAATTTCCACAAAAACATTTATGAAAAGCAAACACAAACCTATTTAGAGGAATTCACTGAAGATGATGTTAACACATTGAGCGTCATGTGTATTTCTTAGGCAATCCCGTTCCAGGCCGCGCACGCCTCTTAAAAGTGCTGATATTGTAAGGCCAGTGATTCTTATCATAGTAGAATATAGTTTACATTTGGAACGTGATTCCTATAGGAATTCATTCAACACGTTAAGTTTCTATGTATACCTTATTTCAATGAAATTCATTAGTTCTGTAATGAATCAAAATTAAGTAAATTTTAAATAAATTTTCTGTAATTCCATAAAACAGTGTAAATTTTATAGTTATATATCATGTTACATGCTGTCAGCCAGCGGCAGTCAACGCGGTCTAAACGGAAAGTCTAGTGTCAGCCACAGATGCCTAACGTGGGGCTCAACGTGTTAATATCAGAAAAGAATTGTCTCGAAAAAAGAAATTACAGTTAGCTACAAATAAAAAAATTAACCTAATCAATAATACAAAAATAATACTTAAAAAAAATTATCCAGAACTGTCAGACATGAGACCAAGTTGTTAGAAGATGAAGGACTTTGAAGCAAGTATTTAGAGAAAGTACATCACTCATTATTAGCAGTAGCAACAACCAGCATGGATGCATAAATCACATTTTCAACAGCAGTAATTTGTGCACAAAAGTACGTTCCACACTTAAAGACAATTCAATAGATGCATTACGTTTTTTACTCTCACATTTCAAATATGTGCAGTTAATAAATAATTTTTTCTATTAATAGACATTATGTAATAGACTACACAACATTATTTTTGTGATATTTATGCTTCTTAATAATACTACTATACGTTTTGTTCCTTTATTGTAATGTGATACTTAATTTTTTTATATTACATTTTTTTTCTAATATTAAAAATTATTATTCTACTGCTCTTATTAATAATATTTGATTATAACATTTGTTCCTTTATTTCATGTTTGTACATAATAAAATTATTTATATTTTCAGTCTATGCATTTTTTAAAACTAATAAATATAACAAAGAAACAACACTGTTTTTGTACCTTTTTTGAAAAATTCCTAATACCATTATTAATACCGGTATTTCAGTACAACATTAAACTAATACCAAATAACAGTAATGTATTCCTGATCTGGCATTGCAATCACTAATTATATGTCATTAGAAAATTATATTATATTGATTATACTAGTGTTATAAATGCTTTTAAAATTATTTTGCAGTTTGAAATTAAGCACTATGGTTTTCAACTATTGCTGCACTGTGTGGAATGCACTTTCATTATATGCAAGATACATTAAAGATCTTATGCTTCATCAATTGGCAACAATTTCCTGTTTTGCCAGGAAATGAATTCTTATCTTTCACACAATGAAACAATAAGCTCATAAATAGGGAAATGAAAGGAAGAAAAAAATGAAGCAAGACATTATTTAAATTCCAGCTGACAAACAGACAGACATGCATGAAAGCTCTGATAGAACTGAAAATACTAACATAGTTTCAAGCATGAGGATATAATATTGGCCCCATATGTGACAACCAGTAATTCTTAATCTTTTTTCCCAGGGATGGGAAAAGGTAACTAGAACTTTCTAATAAAATGTTGCTCATTAGGTGAAATTTTAAAAATACCAACATAGAAATAATGTATGATACTTATACCAGGTCTCACTACCTTGCAAACAGTAAATAAAAACAAGAAAATCAATACCCCATAGCATCACATAGAAACATAACCAAAACTAAATGGTAATATTCCCACAAAAACATTAAAAATAATACAAATTAGTAATCAGTTTCATGCCTGAACACTGACTGCCAGATTCTCATCAACCAATAAAATCATTAGTTTCACTAAACTTTCAATACATTACATAATAAATTTGCAAAAGAAACAGAAGAAATTACTCTAAAAGACTGGACGCATAATAGCAACACAAATGACCAAAATTTTCCTCTGTTTCTGCTTGTGTAAAAAAATGCAGATATCAAAGATTATATTCATGATGCCACATTTTCACAATCCCAAATGATGTCTGACTGACATTTTCATCAGTAGTATGATATACCCTTTTGCCACCCACCAAATATACCATCTCTCATTAAGCAGTCTCTGCAACAACTATAATATGTCTAAATAAGGTGAACAAATTTGCCAAAGAAAGGATTAGTAGCACCACTGAAAGAAAGAAGAGTGAGTATCTTTCACAATGTGAAAGGGGCATTCTCCAAAGCTTTGAGACATGATGGGAAGTTTCATTCCGAAATGACACAAAATTATACTTTTGTGTGCAACTAATGTCTGCTTCTAACCTTTTATAATGCATTATGATCAGTTAGCCATTCTTAAGTTTTACCCACAAATTAGCCAATTACTGACAATTGCATATGGTAGGGCATTTAGTTCTAACAGAGAAATATTAAAAAATATTGTAAATATTTATAGAAAATGTGACGAACTTTTTAATTTGACAAACAAAAGCAACCAGGTACCAATAGCAGAACTAGAATTCATTTATTGAGAACTATTGCATTCTCTGTCTGCTTTGGGCTACAATATATGCACTTATCCTCAAAACATTCTGTTGCAATGCCAAAACTAATGTTTCCTGTATACCAGGCTTAGACTGTAAATCCCTTACAAAAATTTATTCATCAAGTGGGCACTCTTTAGGATTATGGAAAAGACTCTGAGCGGACCAGTTAAAACATAATAATGAATTGTCTCCATACTTAGTAATTGCTGGCTTGGTTTCCATGGTGGTAATAAAATGCATCATTGCCAAAATAGTGACACAAAAATGGTAAAGCAGAATTGTCAAGAATATCGAAATAGATTTCTGGTCATGTTTAATCCATCACAAAAAACAGGTTATGCTCACACTATTTGGAAAACTCGACTCAAAAAATGTCTTACATTTAAACTTGTGAGTGAAAATTGCATAATGAATAAAATACCATTGGGTGTCATTATACCCCTACTTAACACATCAGTTTGGTGTATATTCCATCTATATCCATCTGCAGAACCCAGCTCTACTACTCAAATGTTCAAGAAAGATTATCTTCACACCATAATTAAACATGTGACACCTGAAATATAGATACAAAGCTTCCATACAGCTGCATGCCCTTGGGGACCCATACAATGATGTTCTTTTGAACATAAAAGTTTCAAAGTGCTATTCAGTTGCAGTATTCCTTACTGTCTGTGTATTAATGCATGAGTTAGGTGTCACCACTAGACTTCAATATTCCGCTTAATGTCATTCTTTTTATCTGCCGGTATTTTTCAATGGCTAAGATACACCATTTTCCATCCAGCAGTACAGTACAGTACAACTAATTGCACAACAGCCATTTCAAATCAGATTTTTTGCAGAAGACCCAAGCGGATAATTTTTATGGCCAAAATTAGATATTAGCATATATCACATTGTTCAGCAAAAATTATATTTTAAATTACTTTCACATGGCACACACAACTATGGTCTGTCCCTACTTGATACAGAGAATGCACAGAAGCCATCTCTTGAAAAACAAAAATTTTAGCTCCTTGCTTTTTTACATGCAGAAGTCTGAGATCACTTGGTTTCATCCTAAATTATTAATTTATTTCTAAAAAAATAAAAAAAAAAATGGGGGAAAGAGATATAATTTTGAAAAATTTATAAGATAGCCAGTTTGAAATGCCCAGTTATTCTAAGCTAATTTCTCCAAAGCTTTGGTTAAGCATAATTCCGATCAAGTGAAGTTTGGTCAAATAGGATTTTACAGCAGACCTAAAACTTTTGTAGAGATCTACCTAAATGCTCTGCATTGTCTCTGGTAGACATGCTATTAATGCTAATCCACAACTGTTCCTTTCTGGAAAAAACTTTTTTCATGTTCAGATATTACATTCGAATTCATAACAAAATAATACTGGATATGCTTTTATGTAAACCCTGATTCCTGTCTAGATGAGCCTAGAATTCCAAATTTTACAGAAACCTAATACCATCCAAAAAGTCTTCATATTCTAGTTTTTTCATCATAAAAAAAAGGAAAGAGGAGGTTGGGGTATTCTAAAATATGCTTTGTCTAGAACCATAAACTGCCTTGATCAGCCCTGCTTTTAAGAGTAACTATTTAACATCAGTGCATTCAAAGGAAGTATTCAGAAACTTTGTTTACATATAGCGCCAATTACAATAGATTTCACAAAAGTTAGATTTTATACCTCCTTAACAGGGGCCTTCAACAAAATAATTTCATTTTAATACAGTTCTCATTTTCCTAGGTAGATATACCTAAGTGCAAAGTAATATGCAAATGTTTCCATTATTCAATCAAGCTTTAGAAGCCATATTTCAGATTTAAGAAACATTAAATACTTTTAGAATCCATGCTCCAGACTTTATTAAAATATTCTGGATACTTGGTAAAAGCTACACCCATTTTGACCTTTTAACATAGAACAGCCTCTACATCTAGGACATGGGCTCGTGTGAAAGCCTTAAGGAGAATAGTAGCTAAAAATTTTCAATTACTTGTTCTGGATCGCAATTAATAAGCCTTCTGTATTTTGAATTACCTGATAATATATTCAGTCACTTACAAATCAAATTTAGTCGGCAGCTGTCTTCTGAAAATTATGTACTACTTCCATTAGAAGCTCTGAAATATGACTAGCTGCAATCCTATCTACAATGAATTTGTTTAACTAAATTAATTTACTTTTCCTGTTGATTTAAATAATTAAAATGAAATACACGGAAAAGAAACTATTAATACACATTTAATGCACAGTAATAAATATTAAAAATGAGTTCACTTTATTACTAGCAGAAAGGGGGAAAAAGTAAAAAAAAATTTACCAGTGTAAACCAGAACAGCCATTATTATCCACTAAATTAATATCAGCACCATGATCCAATAAAACCTGAGCTACTGCAGCCCGTCCAAATTCACATGCTTTTAATAAAGGACTCATTCCACTTTTATCTTTAGCATTAATTGAAGCATCAAGTCTAATAAGCAGTTGAACTGTAGACACATGACCATGCATTGATGCTACATGTAAGGCTAAATGAAAAACATAAGTTTTAAATTCAAAAAATTCAATGTTAACCATAGATTAATTTTAAAAAGGGGACAGAAAATTACAGTAAAATATAAATTACTTAGATCTCAATAACAAGATTTAAAATACACCATGCATAATCAGAAAGCAAACACAGCCTTTATAAAGGCAAAATATTTTAGAATAATTGATTTATTACATTGGCCAAACTAAGAGAGCCTTAAAATTTCGCGTCAAAGAACATGAGGCATATGTTAGAAAAAAGGAAACACAGAAGTCTTCTGTTGCTCAACATTGTTGGTCCGAAAATCACACTTTCAATTTTTCTGCTGCCAAAATTATTCAAAAAACATCTTCCATTGGAGAACTGGATTTTCTAGAGGCATTTCACATTCATAAAAATCTTTCTGTCTAGTTAACGATCCTAATTCCAATCCAAATTTGCCTTCGGCTTTTAGAGAAATTATGTTTTAGTTCTGGTTTCGCCAACAGATGGCGCCACTTGCTTATTCTTGTCCAGGCTTTCTTATCTTATCTAAACATTATTTCCTATCTTGTTCATTTGCGGTTTTGCAGCTGAAGATGATGGTTTGGTAAAACCATCGAAACTAGTCCTGTGAAAATTTTGTAAATTAACGCTGATTTTTGTTGTTTGACTTCTGAATTAGTATTTATTCGGCGTGTTATTGTGTCTTAATTAAGACAAATGTTTTCAACAAACTAAAAAGGTAAGCAATATATTACTTTTTTTGTTTCATTTGTTAAAAAGCTTATGATTTTCCTGTAATGCTGCTTCATTCTCATCTGATAGGGCTTCTGTATCTGCCATAATTCTGGCATCTGATAAAGTCTAATGCATGCCAAGAAAAATGCCCACTCCCAAAAAATAAAATTTCAGGATTCCTATCTAATGCCATGCAATGGTTTAACCCTTTCAAGGGTGCAAAGCTAAAATACTATTTTCTGTAATTAAGTACATCATAAACTTAATGTCTCAACAATCTTAAACATTATTTGCCAGTAAATAATTTTTCGGATCAGGGGTCTTTTGTTTAGGGAGTAGCTAGAGGTTATAGCCATGGCGCACTTAACACACTTAGCTTAAGTGTTGGGACAAAATTAATTCAACTTATTATGACAATTTTTATGAGAAATTAATATTTATGAAAATAACAATTTTAATTATAATTAAATACAAAATGTTAAAGTAATAAAGTAATAACTATTAAATAATTGTACAATATCATTGTTGTACTTATTGAAAGATTTTTAAGAAAAAGTTTAAAATATAATTAATAATAATTTAAAGCAAAAAATATAGTATGTGGTATAAATTTCATTAACTATATAGTATGAAATTTTTCGAAACAAGTAGGACCACTTGATTGGAGGTAAAACTTCCACATGATTTGAACACATCCTAACACAGTTGTTATCTTTCCAAACAAGGCCAAATATTTAATTTATTTCATCATATATATAATTAAAAGCCCTACAAAATTCTTTCTTCATTTTTTTGTTTGTTTTTATAGGGCACTTATTCCTCCTGTTATACCTCACTGTTTCTGTTGCAGGTATACTTCTTTTAAATTTTCCAACAAATCAAAACATGTGAAAAAAATTATCGAAATAACAGCAGTGTTCTGGTATGTGTATGGTTGCTAACTTATTCAACAGTACTGATATGCCCAAAGCACACATACCTTTTCTGAATTACTACTTTCTGACATTCATATATTTCAGCATTGCAGCAATATCCAGTCAGGGTCTAGGATTTTTTGCCGTCGCCATTTCACCGTGGCCGTTTCGCCATGGGGACGTTTCACCGTTGGGCCAATTCACCATCAAGGCATATTTTTCTTTACATGACTGTATCATATCTTGCTGTATTATACTCGTATTAAATTTATTTAGTTTAATAATTGTGTTTACCTTTTATATATGTAATAAAAGCTGCTTGTAATAAATATAGTTCTTAACAAATATGAGATATAAAGAAATTGCATATAGTTGTTTAAAAATATAAGATAGAAAGAAACTACACATAGTTAGTTAAAAAATTATGTAAATATCAAAGAGAACTGAGTCTAAAATCCTTTCGTATAACAGAAGTTATATTATGGATTTCAAAATTATGCAGATACAATTTGAAAATACTCAAAATTTCTTGAAACTTTAATTGGTAGTTGAGAGCAATCACTCATGCAAGCAGAAAATTCACATTTTTATGAAATCTGAATTGAAAACAGAATTATTTTGGAATCTTGTCAGCACATTACTCTCTTAAAATTAATCTGTCATGTGTAACAATGTATTTGCATAAAATTGTATACAAAAACATTGTCTATATTATTCAAAAGCTTTTAATACGAGGAAATTGCTGAACTGTATATGTTAAACTATATGGTTCTTTAAATGACAAAAATTTAGAAAGTTGTTTTATGCGATTGTAAGTACTTGCAAGAAATTGCAAAAGGTTTTTTTTCTTTTAAAATTTAAGACAGCCAGAGGTATACAAAATTATAAACTAAACAAATATAAGCATATAAAGAAAATCACCTCTTAAATATACAATTGGTAAACAGAATTATTAAACTAAATCAACTTAATATAATACATCAAGATACAATACAATCATGTAAAGAAAACTGTATTGACGGCAAAAAAGGCCATGGCGAATAGTCCCAATCCCATCAAGCCACACTACAACCCACTACCCATTGCTAGAAACCAAAGCGAATGGGCTTGTCTCTAATTAACTGCTTAAGAAACTGATGACAATAATAACACAACGCACCATTTATTAATCAATACTCAGATGATCAAAACTCAAAAATACTCCAAACTGCATAATTGTTTTATTCAGTTCATCCAAAATTGGTTGTATTTTGAATAATCTTTCTTTGTTCCCATTTATTATTGGTATACTTGTATTGTCACCAAAATATTTGTATTGTTGGTTTCTCTTTATTTCAATAAAATGATTGTCTTACATTTTCATACAATTCCCATATTAATGTCTTTTTCTGACCAATACATCTGCTTGAGGTAAAAAGTGATATCCAGTTAAAAGTAACAATCCCAAAAAATTTTTGAAACAGTCAGTAGACAGAAATGGTGATGATTATTTTGAGATGCGTAAAATACACTCTGCTGTACAATATAGTTTACTAGATCATCTGTGAAAAACATTTAAGAAATTTCTACTGGTGTTTTACCTGCTGCTCTTTCTATCATGTTTATTTTACATTGGTTGCATTCTCCTTTCTCAGGACTAGGCACACTGCATGATGCACCCTTTCTATTCCACTTCAATATGGGTTTTTCTTTCTTAGATATATTTCCTTTGGGACTGTAATAACCTCTTCATTATACTTCCGTGAATTTCTAAGAAACCTGGAACACCATTTGGAATGGTATCTTCCAGTACATTGTCATCTATATCTTCCAAATCGGAAAAGTTATCAGCTATATCTGGTGGTAATTCAACTATGTCAATAGACAGTCAAGGTCTTCATTATCTGCCAAATCATTGTCCCAATATTCTTGAAGTTCTCTTAGTATTCAAAACTTGTTTTACCTCATGATTATTCAAACTGAGCAAATTAAAAATATTTATAGGAATTCAAATTATACTAGCAAAGTCATTTATGAAAATCCAACCAGGTTGCTCTCATGTAATTCAAAGATCCCTAGATGACAGCACTTCTCAGCACAGAGTTCATGACCATCTCTCCTAAAAATTGTTAAAATTCTTTTGCTCAATGGACCAAAAGGCATGCTACCAGAATATTTAGGAACGTGTGTTTCCAAATCACCTGCTGAAAACACCTTGTCACAAAAGATAACTAGAATGAAAACAGAACTCCTATTTGGGATGTAAAAAGTAAATCTTCATTTTACATAGAACAGTAGTTAGCCGCAAATGAGGATCACTGTATTTTGCAGGTAGTCAATAAAAAATTTACTCAATTTTGATACTATGTTATTCAGAACACATATGCACTTAATCTCTATAAGAAAAAATATTTCATTTTAATATCAGTTACCAGATATTCACTAAGCATATAGGCAGATGTGAAAAAGTAATTTACAAGCACTTTTGAAAGAAATGTTATTTACATATATATATATATATTATATATATTGTTTAACTCAAACTAAAAATTTTAATTATATACATTATGTTTAGTATGATAAAGCAGATCACTTTAAAAATAAACAAAAATCAGAAACTAGGAGTGGAGAAACATTAAAAAAATTACCTATCCCCGGGACCACGGCAAGGAATGAGTTAAGCTGAAATAATCTATAAGTTTTCCAACACTTTTGGTAGGGCAGGAGTGTCATTAAAATCATTGGGAAATTCAGGAATAACTTTCAGTAGAAGATTTAAATTATAGACCATTAATTTCAACTGTTCTGATTCAACTGCTTGATTCAACTGATGCAAGATGTCAGCATTTTTAAAAACTAAACCAAACCATTAATTCATATTTGTAGAAGAGAAAATACTTTTGAAGTAGGAGCTATAAAATTTCGGTAATCTTATAATTAACTGAAAAAGAAAACTGGATGAAAAAGGTTTACTATGATAATTCTTGATGGAGGAATGTAATCTACAAGGAAGGGCAAAAACTGAGTTTTAACAATAACAAAAGGAGAGAAATGTATAGTAGTAACAACTGTAAAAACATTTTTCCACTAGCAGATGACTATGAAAAAAAGAGATGAAACACATAAAAAAGTAAGACATAGAAGACCATAGTGACAGTAACTGAGATATGAAGAAAAAGAAGAGAATGGGACTTCTGATAAAATGTTGAGCTGAAACTGAAATTTAGTGCATTGATTGCAGCATCCAAAAATCATTTTTAGACATCCCCTTACTTTAGATATTTTCATACGATTCTCAAAATATCTTTGCCTTCTCCTTTATTTTAAACAGATTCATAACCTGAAGACACTAAGTATTTTCATTACAATCTCCTCTACTTTAGGTACTTTCATATTAGGTCATGCACTGTTAAATCATAGCAAACAATAAATGGTTATTTTGAATATTTTAATATTAAGACAGTACTCTAGGGAGAAGGAATTCTCAGACCTAGGCTTACAAGCCCTTGAACAGTTATCATGCCCCAAGCCCTAGAGGCAACCCAAGGAGGCATAACCCCCCAGTCAACCCACAGGGGGACAATTTTGGATGCATACAGGCTGGGAAAAAGAACAAGTTAATGGTGGATGGCAAGCATCCACCAACAAAATGACCATAGATATGTCCCCAGTGTTGATCAATGGGAGCCAAACCCCCAAGGACAAACCTTAAAAACCAAACCACATAACAGCCCCACAAGCAAGGGGCAGACAAGGCAGTACCAGTACAGTTTCTGCCAAGTGTGAACCTACCACTGAATAAATTATAGTTCTATTCGCTGTGAAGACTGATTATTTACCCCAGAAGTCAAGTCTGTCTAGGTTCTAGCCAGAATGCCATGAGTTGATCCCTAGTCTACCATGGGGGATGAATATTGAGACAGCCATTTCTGAGTAATAAAGAGAATTTATTGCAAATAATTACAGTTCCGATGCTTCCAGAAAGCCAACCTTATGTAAATATGGCTTCGAAAAATAGTGAGTCTGAACTTAAGAAACGTAGCTCATTTTTAAAAATTCAGCAGAGAAAATTGTACTTTAACTTCGTGTATCATATTGGTAATCTATGACATTTCTCAAGTATCTTATCTATGTGTTCTTGAGCTATTTACAGTTATTTATTTTGCTCTGTTTGCTATTTACTGCAATAGATAGTCAATTTCTCCCTGCTCCTTTGATGTAGTTTCTAAAAAAATCTCCATGAACCCATAGCCCACAACAATATGCATAATGAATATTACTAGGTATAAGCATATTTTCAACAGAGAACTGCAGGAATGAGATAACTGGAAAAGAATTAACAAATTCTGTCAAAATTTCTAACACATGTAAATTGTATCAATAAGTTTTTGCAGTAACAATCAAGCCATATGCACTTTGAAGAAATATATTTTAATAAACAGACTGAAAATTTTCTGACTCTAAAAAGTGTAAGTCAAAATCAATAATTCAAAATTAAAAAACAATTTTTGGTACTAAATATTAATTAAAACAATATCTGGATAATTTTTTATTGTCTACAAGTAAATAATTTTAATTAAAATTCATTTTGCTTAACTTTTGCATTGCACTTAACAAAATTTAATTTTTTGACTGAAAATAAAACTAGTCATTTTGACTGATTTGGTAGAAACAAGTATACACTGAAGAGGCAAAACATTATGATCACTTACTCAATAACGCATTGTGCGACCTTTGGCCTGAAAAACAGCTGCAAATCGCCTTGGCATGCATGCCAAAAAATCTTGGTAGATGACAGGAGACAGGTTGTACCAAACGTTCGCAAATTCGAGATATTCCGACATGGTGGTGTTTCACCTTTGAGCTGCCACTCCATGATATCCCAAATGTACTCTATCAGGTTAACAGCTGGCAAGTTAGGTGGCCAGGATATTAAATGGAATTCATCCTTATGCTCCTTGAACCACTCCAGCAAAATTCGAGCGTGAGATGACGCATTGTCCTGCTGGAAGATTTCATTTCTAGATGGGAAGAGAGACGCTATGTAAGGGTGGAACTGCTCTGCAATTATGTTCCAACAGTCTGCAGCTTTCACAATCTGTTCTACCACAACTAAAGCTCCCACAGCCACCAATGAGAATGTTCTCCAAAGCATAATACTGCCACCAGCAGCCCGTGTATGATTTTCTATACGAGGGAGCAAATGTTTGCCTGTAAGATGGCATACCCTGACATGGCCATCAATGTGATGAATGCGAAATCGTGATTCATCTAACAGCGTAACTGTCACTTATCCATGGTCCAGTCTCGATAATCCCAAGCCCTCTGTAGGCATAGCTGGCAATGATACTTGAACAACAACTTGACGACTGTGACATCTGCTGTGTAGTCCCATATCTAACAGCGTCTGTTGAACTGTGTGTTCCAAAACACTTACACTTGGACATGCATTGTATTGGGCTGTCAGCTAAGCCCCTGTCTGGAGACGATTTTGTTGTACCAAGTGGGACAATCTCCCAGACCCTTTTCCTTTGATGGAACATGGACATCCAGCACCTTAGCATCTACAGCTGGTTTCACCATCATTTATCCTCTTTGCATAAACACTAACAATGACAGATTGTGGACAACCTACCAGTCGTGCAGTTTTAGAAGATACTTGTTCCGAGTCTACGAGCCATTATAATCAGCCCTATATCAAATTGGCTTAGATCAGCAGCCTTTCCCATCGCTCACAAAAGTGCAAGAATGTTTCTTTACCTTCTCCAGCAACAGTTAAATACCATTCCCACTTAATCACATGCCTTCGATGTCATCCAGACAAGTTAATTGAAAAATGTGGGGATGGTGATAATATTTTGGCTCATCAGCGTATTTCAACTGTTATTTGTTCTAGTGTTGACTGCCAATAGTTACATTATGAATATAATAATTACACTTATCAGATTCTAAGATATCTAAAACATAAAACAATCAAAATTACCAGTCATTCCACTTTTGTCTGCATGATTTATATTTGCATTACTTGCAGCCATAACTTTAACAGCCTCATCTGCCTGTGTAGCAGCAGCCCAGATGAAGGCAGTTCTTCCTTCCAGATCTTCTTCATCATCAATATAAATTCTTGACAAAAACATCTCAACTATCTTCTGTAAGATATATTTTTAGGTGTAATATAGTTCAGTAAAGTAAAGCACATTTCTCACACTTTCAAAACCTTAGAAGAAAGCTAATTAATATTTTTTGCATTAAAATATACTGGAAGATTGAAAATCAACCAACTGCTGATATCCAGGTTGCCTCTTGGGATATCAATGGTTAAAATGCAGATGGTTTTGTCACTTCATGACATCTGAAAATCACTGCCATGTTTCTTCATGCAGTATGGAGGCAAACTACTATAGTCTATTGATTATCACTTTTATAAATACCACTAAATAGATATATCACTCACTGTATGCTAAACTTATACCTTTAACTGAATGTTATTTTAATTGATAAAGACTGCCATAATTAGAATTTTGGTCATATTCCAGTATTCCATTCATGATGCAGCAAGCCAAATGGGCATGAAAATACTTTAGGCATCAGTCTTACTGGAAACTTAGCAAAGCATAATGAACTCATGTTTTGATTTAACGACATTTTGACAAAGAAGAGATGAAATTTAAAATTTAGTAACTATTAAATGATAAAGAATATGCCATTCAAATTTCTTCAGGAAAAGAAATTAACCATAATGAAAGATTGCTCAAGTAACCATGATTATATTTTCAAGCAGGAATACATCTTGAATTTATGGTTAGGGTTACTATCACTAATTCAGGCTACATTTCATTCTAACATTAATATTTGGCAATGACTGTTGTCCCTTCATCAAAAATGGCCAATTGTTATTTTTCATTACAACTAGATCTAAAAAAAATATAAATTAAGGGGTTTTATCAGAAAGCAAGCACTAAATTACTTCATGATTTTTCTGTAAGGAACAGAGGAGGAGAACAAATTTAGAAAAACTTAATCATGTGAGTGATACGGAAATAACTACATATTCAGTTTCTTCCATCTGTGCAATCTGAGAGGAGAGAGAGACTCAAATTACAACATTTTAAATTAAACTACTCACAGTACATCTGAAAATGTAAAAAATAATTCTTCATGTGCTTTTCATCTTTACTTTCTTTTTCTATGAAATTATATTTAACGTATGTTCCTCCAAGTCAAGAAGCAAGTTTTGCTTCTCAGTGCTTCTCTAAATTCCAAAAATTTTGTCATCCCTAAATTCTGCCGCCCGGTGTAGCCATATGAGCTCTGGCACAGATTCTGAGTTTATGTGAATAACAAATCAATTATTCTTAATTCAAATAGCACTACATGTAATCTTTTGGCCAATGAGTAGCATTAACAAAATCTATTTTTAGCATATGGAGAGAAATTGTTAACTTTTTACTCGTCAACATTTCTTAGCACATTTAACTAAAATCTGTACACATCTCCAGGCGTAATGTCAACATAAAAGGTTACCATACTCTTTGTTATTCAATTACTAATATAAAAAAATTGTTTGGTTATCGCTGCATGAGTCATTACTGAAGTTGACATGTATTTATAAATATATTTATGTTGGCATGTGATGAAAGCAAATACAATAAATAATAATTTGCCATGTTGGCATCAGGGATATAAAACATTAGTAGGTATAAAATCAACGATGTTTAATGCCGAAGTGAAATTAAGAATCGAGACTCTTCACATTGTATTATGGAGGGGGGGAAATCAAATGTGCATGCATAAAGCATACAAAACAAATTCCTTTAAAAAAAAATTGGTGGCTCTGAGGTCTGTATTTTAGATCGTTCCAGATATTGGACGTCCAGATCTCAGAATTTGTACTTTATATCAATAATGTTAATTATGCTACACACAAATACTTAATTCCACATAAAACAATTACCACACTAAAGTTTTAATCAATTCCAAAACATAATGCCCTATTTCAGAAGAAAATCTGATATAAATTTACTTGAAGCAGTTTGATAAGAGCCAAGTATGGATATGTTTTATCATACTTATTAAGTGCCTCCTATATTGTTCCTAAAAACTACTGATCTTTTTTGGGGGGAACATTTTCTTCCTGTTATCATGTTCTCTAACCTTTATTTCTTTAGATGGTTAAAAGGTAGTTGAAGGTTTAAAAGAAAAGATTACATTAGCATTCCATTCATTGATGACACAGCATATGTCATCTGAAAGCCTTCAGCAGATAAAAATGCAGAGGAATTTATTGGTGAATTTTCTATGCTAATGGCAGAAGTAAATCTCAACCCAAAAATGATTTTTAATACGGACAAGACTGTTTTTTTTTTTTTTTTTTTTTTTTTTTTTTTTTTTTTTTTTGCGATGAGATGAGTGACAAACGAAGACAGTGTAACATCAGGGGTGAAAGAAGCTAAAAAAAATTAATATTTTAGTATGGAGCAATGGAGCTGGAACTTACAAATGTAAACCAATGGTAGTGGGTAAACGCACCAATCCCAGAGTTCTGAAAGAAGTAAAATTCTCACCAGTGATTTGCAAGAATAATAAAAATTCCTCGTTCACGAAACAACTTATGACCATATGCTTCATGGAACATTGCATTAAAAGAAGCTAGCTAGAACTGCAGCAGTTTTACTATTATCACAACAGCTTTTCACATCCGGATGCAACCTTTTTAAACTGTGATAATGTCTTAACCCCCTTTTTTTTGCCTCCATATACTACATCATTGATAAACCAGTGGACCAGAGCATAATACACAGTATTAAATTCCACTACAAATCTGAAAATCTGCAAATATGAGCTTTTGAAAAAAATTCTATCATGAGACCATTCTGTTTCACTTTATAATTATAAAAAACAATTACCATCAAAGACTGTATCTATTTGTTAGCAGAATTATGAAATTCTGTTTTCAAAACAGAATTAGCAAATAGCTCGTGCAATATATGGCCATCTTCTCTTTTATTGAAACTGAGAGTGATGACAGTGAATTTTCTGGTTTCAGGATCAGTGCAGCAAAGGATAAAGCAACAGAATTGTTTCTGTATTTGAAAGAAAACACATGAGGAGGCTATGCAAGATATTGTTGAATGGATGATGTATCTTGATGAACTAACACTGGCATATCAGATGACTGATGATGAAATTATTGGCTCTGTTCTGAATTCGACTCAGGAAGAAAACGATTTCGATACTGACACAGATAGTGAATTTAATAGGAGTGAGATAATAACTTTTAATGAAGGTTTGGAACATCGCCAAAAATACCTAAAATTTTTAGAACAAAATAGCATGTGACACAGCAAGAGATTATGACTCTAATTAATAATTTACAAAAAAATCTTATGCTGGAGCCCCCTAAAGTTTTAAAACAAACTTCTATCAGAAAAATATTTGAAACCCATAAAAAAATTTTATATTTTATGCTTTACGTCTCTAATTTTCATATGTCTTTATTGTACATGTCCTTAATGCCCTTATTTATTTTGCATTTTTAGTCTAAATATTATAATTTAACTTTTCTGTCCTGAAATTTGCAAATTCCTAAAATCTGCACAACCTCTGGTCCCAAGCATTGCAAATTTAGGGTCTTCTACTGTATTACCATCTCAGATTGCTATCCTCTACCATTTCTTACTGACTACTGTTCTATTCTGCATGGAAAGAATGTTTTTCATCCATAGACTTAGCTGATCAACAAATTTCAGTGCACAAGAAACTCATATTCCAAAAACGGAAATTATAACTCCATTTGGCTTGTCTGAATTTTCTTTTATTTGGTTTATACAATATGGCACAGACATTTCATTGATTCACAAATATGGTGTTATCAGATTAGATTTTGCGTTCTGCTATTTAGACAACATACTGATTGCTTCTGATGAAAAGTCACACCGTGATCACTTATACATAGTTTTTCAAAGGCTAAATGACTACAGTTCATGTGTCAATACTGCAAAAAAGTATTTTTGGTATTTCTAAAATTAAAAAATTTGGTTATGAAATTTCAACAGAAGGAATTCGCCCTCTTTGAACTAAAGTTGATGCCATACAAAGTGTACCACCAACCTGCACAAGTTCTTAGGAATGATTAACATTTATCACAGTTTAATTTTGATTGCACAAAATTTAAACAGCCTCTAACCTCATTACTTGGTAGAAATATCAAAAACAGCAAAATACTTCTAAATATGGGTCAAAAATTCTCTAACATATTCAGAAACCTTAAACATGCTCTTTCTCATGATAGTATACTTGCCCGTCTCTCAAATAATGCTACTGTACTTTCTCACATATGATGCTTTGGATCATACATCAAATTGAACATAGAGATGTGTGTCCATTAAGTTTCTTCTCACATTCCATAGCTGATACACAAAAACACAATTAATATGACTGGGAACTTTTGTTCATCTACACTGTAATAAAGAATTTAAGTTAAGTATTCAGAGGAAGATCTTTCATAACTTACATGGACCATAAACCTATCAATTTTGCTTTTCCCAAATAAACAAGACAACTGAGTTATTTTGCTCAATTTTCAATGAATATTCCATATGTCATGGGAGAAAAAACTGTAGCTGATGTTCTTTCCAGAACTAACACCATTGTCTCCAGCTGCTTATCGAATTTCGAGATGAAGATTTAACAATATTGAAACTCAAGGCTGAAAATGGTTCAAATTCTCATTCCTGCCACTGTAAAATCCATTCATTGTAATATTTCCACCAACAGTAGCTGCCCATACATTCCCTCAAATTTTTATTGACAGATATTTCCATCTGTTCCTACCCTATCACATCCAGGGATTAGAAGCACCATAAAACTAATCACACAAAGATTCATTAGGCTAAATATCAATAAACACTATCAATTATGATGCCAGCCATGTCTGGAATGCCAATGATCTAAAATTCAAAGACATACGTAATCAGCTTTAATGAACTTTAAAGTTCCATCCAAATGTTGAAAACATTTGGATGGTTCAGTTCCATCCAAATGTCCACACTGATATTGTTGGACCCTTATCTACTTGCCAATGTTTCAGTTATTTGCTAATGATGATTGATTGTTTTCCAAGATAGGTTGAAGTACTTCCTATAACAGA